CGGGGAGAGGAAAGTGAACTTCACAACTGATCTTGACTTTACATGTCATGTCAATGTCTTCAAAATAAAACAATTGGGATAAAATTGGGTAGCAAATGTTTTTAAAATGCAGGTCTAAAATAAGGGAACAAGAAACAGAAACACTTCATTGTAACCAATATCATAAATTATCATACAATACGCAAAGCTAGATTGGACACTTGAGAGTAAAAATCATACAATAATGAACAGAAATCAAATAATATTTGATAGTATCATGTACCACCCATAATATTTGACAGTATCATGTACCACTCATAATATTTGACAGTATCATGTACCACCCATAATATTTGATGGTATCATGTACCACCCATAATATTTGATGGTATCATGTACCACCCATAATATTAGATGGTATCATGTACCACCCATAATATTTGATGGTATCATGTACCACCCATAATATTTGATGGTATCATGTACCACCCATAATATTTGACAGTATCATGTACCACCCATAATATTTGACAGTATCATGTACCACCCATAATATTTGACAGTTTCATGTACCACCCATAATATTTGATGGTATCATGTACCACCCATAATATTTGATGGTATCATGTACCACCCATAATATTTGATGGTATCATGTACCACCCATAATATTTGATGGTATCATGTACCACCCATAATATTTGATGGTATCATGTACCACCCATAATATTTGACAGTATCATGTACCACCCATAATATTTGATGGTATCATGTACCACCCATAATATTTGACAGTATCATGTACCACCCATAATATTTGATGGTATCATGTACCACCCATAATATTTGATGGTATCATGTACCACCCATAATATTTGACAGTATCATGTACCACCCATAATATTTGACAGTATCATGTACCACCCCTGAATAAGAGGAAACAAAAGAATTTCTCAAAAACCCAGAACAACAAACAATGACACAACCCACAAGGACACAAAAACCCACCATTTTACACGAAGGCCAATTCAGTAATAAAGAGTCAGTAAGAGTTGTAAAAAGTACTTCATCAAAATCCACACACAAAATGGTATTTCAATATCATTATCATCATCATCATACACACAGGATCACTTTGTACAAAAAGGCAACTGCATCATCAAGAAACTCCAACGTTGTGTCATGTTGAGACTCATCCAAAACACTTACAATACAATCAGTTCCTTTAAAACAACCAAACAACCTTTATTTAGATGGATACAACATTTAGCATGAGTACATTACATTGGCATTATAAATCATCACTGTTGGTGATGACCAGGAAAAGAGAAAGATAATGCAGCATTGCTTCCTTGTGGTAAAGCACACAAATTGAACACCACAAAATGTACATAAGTGTAAGATAAGAAAATGACTGTTAGTCAACGGTTGTCAGGCTCATCCATTTCATTATGGTGGAGAAAGCTCAAGACTGAATCACTGATCACAGTTGTAGTTTAGTTTTAGTAGAGGTTTTACGGCACTCGCAACTGATCGCAGTTGTATGGAGCAAGAAAGAAAGAAAGATGGATTATTCATGACGGTAAAAAACTGGGATGGAAATAGCATCACGCTGCGCTGACAGAAAGTAAGATTCAACTTGCTCTAGATGGTCGGGCAAATGTTGCATTAACATCTGTCCTTGAGTAAATGAGGAACAAATAGTCCCAATGTCCCAATGATATACTAATGAAGCTAAGAAAAAGAAGTCTTAAGACAGATATGACAGGATCTGACAACAGTGTAAGTTGCTCAAGGAGCAAAGAACACCCGTCGTCATACTCTTGACCTTACCGCAAAATGCAAAAACTCCATACTTACCCTGATAAGTTTCAGGGAGTCTACATAAGTGATGAAACAATAACAATAATATATTATTTAAGAGATCATTATGTCAATTATTTTAAAAGTTAAAAACGCTTCATAACGGGTGAACTCTCAGGATACAAACAAATATCGCTTCCCTCTTTCAACCTTGACAACATGTCAAGGGGGCTACATGGTTTTTTAATGATAATGATATTGACAGATTCCATTAACATTACATGACACGTCCAAAAAGAGAGGTATACATATTCCTTGTATGAGAGAAGCAATAAATAGGGAGGGAGGGAGAGGGGGGAAGAGAGAGAGGCAAAGAGAGAGAGAGAGAGAGGCAGAGAGAGAGAGAGAGAGAGAGAGTATTCTTCACAATGTACAAACACACCATAGAAAATATCAGAGGCCAGACTTGAGGGCCCCACCCCGGCCCGAGAAGTCCCAGAGTCCTGTCATCAGCCGCCTCAGTAAGACCACAGAACAAGGCACAGAGCATCACATCCACTGTCAACATCCATCACACACAGCTCTCACACTTGGCCTTATAACAAGACAGCCAGTTGTCCTAAACCCCAGTCTAGATGAAATCCTGAAAAGCGACTAAATAGGCTAAAAAAGAAATAGCAAGCTGTTTTGTAGAAGCAATTTTTTATCCAGAGGACACTATTTTTCTTGTGAAAGTAAGATTACAGTCGATTTTTTAAAACTTTGCCCAATTGAAGAACATGTCTAAAAGGTATCTTGATTAGATACCAGAACAGCTTGTAAAAATAATTATCTTTTTCTCTCAGTGATTTCATTGAAATCCTCTTGACTGTTGAGACTCAGAGTAAGCATCAAATGGACACATACAGAAACAGCAGAAACTACGACCTTGAAAACATTGTGAAACAATTTAGAAAAATAAGACCATGAGCTACTCCACGTGACTATACCCAACATAAAACTTCTGCTGGGAGACTAGAATCCCTTTGGTCAATAATAATAATAATAGATAGCATTTGTATAGCGCATGTCCCCGCTCAACAGCAGGCTCTATGCGCTTTACACTATATTATTAACCCAGCAGACCATAGAACACTCCAAAACATTCTCAGCTTCCCGGGAAGCATACAGTGCAAGCAGCCGATTAAGGGCTCAAACACTAACAAACTGACAAGATCTTTCGCTGTCTATAGCTGGGTACCCATTCCCACCTGGGTGAAGTGAGGACAATTATATCCTACACATCCACCACTCTGACCCCTTTACAGCACACTCCATGCTTTCTGATCAACCAAACACATTTCACCTGCAAATTTCACTATTTTTTTCCTTTTTAGCCTTTACCTGGAGGTAAAAAGTCGAGTACGTAAAGAACATATATTGATAACATATCCACAACATTGTTGCTCACTTTCGCCACAAGGACCAAACTCATCTGAACGGCAAAACAAAATCTGCTGTAAAACAATTGTGTTACGACCTGACGGAATCAGGCTCTCCTCAATTTTGAGGCATGTAGAGTTATTGGTATCATCTTAAAGCTTGTTCACTTGTCTTTACTTGAATGAAAAAAAAAAATATCCATTTATCTGAATACAAGTCGAGATATTTGCAAATAAAGGACGTGGGGGTCACCTGTTTTCAGAGGTAAAATTAGTGAGAAAATGGCCACCAAAGAATAGTTATTTCCTTAGATTAAGAGTCCGAGGTAACTGAAAATTTACATTTTTTGTGAATTTAATCAACTCACAGAAATGAGTCCTTTAACGGGCATGAAAGGTGTTCAGCCAAAAAACGAAAATTTGATAAAAATTCACAAACCTGCGGAAAAATGCCAGTTTCTTCATTTTGATTATTTTGGACGAGAGCCTGATTCCACCACGCTGCCTCACAATTAATAAAAATATAACATTAAACACTATCGATTTCATAGTACATGTACTGCTTTTACCAAAAGCAAACCTTAATTAAAATAGAATGAAAAACTCAACAAACAGAGAGTCCACTAACAGACCTGGCCATCTTTGTGTACAAAAGTAAGTACAATGACCCTCATAGCTAATGATTGTACTGAAATCAATACATCTATAATGTTCCATCAGCACACCTTTCTTCTATAGATCAATGCTGGTCTTCATTACCACTTTTTTTTTTTTTTTAAATCTTTTCAAACAAAAATTTCAATATAGAATACTGCTGTTGATGAGTTGAAGTATATGGCCAGTCAAAATGAAAACACTCACATTCTATAACCACCGACATCAGTGAATCTTCTATGTCCTACACGTGAGGACCTTTCTTCAATCAGTGCACGGCTTCTCTCTCTCTCTTGCCCTTTTTAACTTTCAGTGGAGCACAGGCCATCAACAACATTACTCCAGCGAAGCCTGTCCTGAGCATCCTTTTCTATCTGTTTCGTGCATGTCTTCAACAAAACATTTTCTCTTTCTTAACTCTTTAAACCCTACTGGACGTGGTACTAACCCTTTCTTTTCCCCATCGGACGCTGTCGGATGCTGGGAGCGTCCAGTGCTAGTAACAACTGTTTCCTTTTATAATTTAGTACTAGTTTTTGCTTGTGTTTCGGAACTATTCCCAAGCCAAGTTTTTTAGTAATGACTAATCTTTTGCTTGTTTCCACAATTTAGAAGTTGGAGGCAAGCTTTTGGAGTTGAAATGAGACATAGTGACAATCATATTGCACCTGGTTTAGATGAAGGTAGAAAAAACTGGGAAACAGTGGAAAAAACTCAGGGTTTAAAGAGTTAAATTAGATTCCAAGATAGAATGCTGTAGTCGTTCAGTCGAAGTTTAGGCCAGTCAGAAGGAAAACATCGACATTCTAGAACAATATCAGAGCTGAGAAGAAAACAGAATGAGCAGATGACACAAGAGCACCCACCAGTTCCCCAAAAGGCACCATCAGGGGAATGAGTGGGAGGGAGGCGACTCCCTGGGAGGGACAAAGGGAGGGAAAAAGGGAGGGAACATCCGTCAAAAAAAGAAAGAAAGAAGGACACAAACTAATATATCTCCTTAACTCTTTATCTCCAAGGGGAGTAAACCCACTATGCCGGGGTCCTTTTTGGGTGCTAAATCTAAAAATGACAAAAATGTCATTAAATGGGTCACTAAATCGAAACTAGCAAACCTATTTTGATAGTTCGTCTAATGAATGAACTTCTGGTATAAGAGACCTGTGTTCGGCAATTGCCAAAAAGTAATTTGATGTCGAAGTCCTCGTAAAGGAATGTGACCGAGCCGGCACGATGGGAGCGCCTTGCCGGAGATAAAGAGTTAAGGAACAATTACAAACACACTCCAACGTACACACACACACACACACAGAGCTTTGCTAAGATCACAACAACATACCAATAATATGTTACTGACAGGAATGTGGAGAGCAAGCTGGCGCTCATTACAACCGGAATTGATCATAACCCAGGAAAGTTGAGGGTGTGGACAGCAGTCCAACATGAGAAAAAGGCAGCGAGCAGAAATGTTCACATAGGGATGGCTTGAAGTGGTTTGAGGAATAAGACGATCAAAAGAAATAGCTCTCAGGACTGCAGGAATCAACACAGAAACGGGCAAACCTCTTTGTTTGTTACCACTTTGCTTGACTTGAGACTTCACACCCCAGAACATTCTATCTCGGACTCACGACTCACAACAGATTGTATGGCAAAAGTGACAACACAAGCAATATAAAGTCGAAACAACTTGAAAATGTAGAGCAAATTGTTAACATCACAAGTGTAAAAATGTAACAAAAGCGAAACACAAACAGCCACAGGAATCAAGGGAGATCACACCTACAATACAAAAGAAACATTCATTGTTGTAGTACGTATAAGAAAACAACAACAACAACAAAACTGTACAATCGGCAACAATCATCTAAACATTATTATATATATATATATATGGGTGCAGATAAACATTTCTATTGTGGTTTTCAACGCATGTCATAGACAGAATAGGGCAGCAATTCTACTGGACTGGTGACTCTCAGCTTCCATCCACTCTCTCAAACATCACCTGCCTCACACTGACGCACACGACCGTGCAGGACCACAAGATAGAGGGGTGGAGGACTGGGGAGTATGTGGGGGGAGTGTGGGGGGGAGAGAGAGAGAGAGGCATGACTCTGGTTATTCGGTGCAGAGGAAAGCGAGAAAAAAAAAGGATTGACGATAGGAGCACAGTAAGGTATGTGGTCATTAAACTGTTCACAGGTGGCCAACAAAAAATCCCTCAGCCAGTCTATATATATATATATATATATATATATACCCAGTATACATTATAAGACTTGCCAAAGTTACATGTTATATTCAATGACTCCTGAAACACTCATCCAAGCTATTCAAAAGAAAAGCCCCTTTTAGTCCATTTCTCACGAGTGATTGCAAAATCTTAACTCCATCCAAATGAGTCTCGCTCGCACATGGGTTCCAGGAAGGAAATTTTCCCCTCAGGGATACTGAGAGTTAGTTCTGTGTAGGTGTTGAACTTTAGTGTAAGTCGTAGAAGTTGAGTCTCAGCTAAAGTTGTAACTAAAGACGTAGGTGTTGAGCCTCAGCTAAAGTTGTAGGTGTTGAGCCTCAGCTAAAGTTGTAGGAGTTGAACCTCAGCTAAAGTTGTAGGTGTTGAGTTGAACCTCAGCTAAAGTTGTAGGTGTTGAGTTGAACCTCAGCTAAAGTTGTAGGAGTTGAGCCTCAGCTAAAGTTGTAGAAGTTGCGCTTGAGGTTGTCCATGGCCCCCTGGTGCTGCTTGCGCTCCTCCTCCATCCTCTGACGTTCCTCCAAAAACGCCTGCAAACAAACACATCACACACGTTCTTTATGCAAACCTAGAACAATGCTTTAAGATACCGAAAATCACAACAACATAAATATATGTGAGGCAGCGTGGTGGAATCAGGCTCTCGTCAAAATAATTTAAGTGAAGAAACTCGCATTTTTCCACAGGTTTGTGTACTTTTATAAAAATGTTGTTTGGCTCAACACCTTTCATGCCATTAAAGAACTCATTTCTGTGTGGATTTTTCTGAAAAACGTAGAATAAAGGCACAAAAATGAACATTTTCAGTTACCACGGACTCTTAAGCTAAGAAAAAAACTAATCTTTGGCAGCCATTTTCTGAGTAATTTTACCTCTGAAAACAGGTAACCCCCACCTCCTTCATTCGCAAATATCCCGACTTGTATTCAATACAAATGGATACTTTTTTCATCGAAATAAAGATATGTGAACAAGCTTTAAGATGATAACAATACCTCTACATGCCCAAAATTTGACGAGAGCCTGATTCCACCGTGCTGCCTCACACTGACAGGAATGTGAAGAGTAAATTGATGTTAATTACAACCAGAACTGATTAAAACCCAAGAAAGTTGTGGAGAGGGACTGCAGTCCAAAATGAGTAAAAGACAGCCAGCAGAAATGTTCACAGAAGGATGGCTTGAAGTGATTTGAGGAATATCTAGGTAAAACACGTGTTGTGTGTGACGCAAGTTTGAGTAAGCCAAATACAAATACATACACATACAGACAGGTGCACTTAACGGGTACACACAGACACACAAACACACACACACACAGAAGCACACACACACGCACACACGTGCAATTAACACCTGCACACACAAGAACACAAAGCGTTAACACACACAACAAAGACCAGAAGGCGGCCGCATGATGAGCAGAAGCCAGCGCCGTCAATACTCACAGCCATGTGTCTTCCGTAGCTCTCAGAAAGCCTGTCCATCTGGTCGCTGCTTGCCTGCTGCTGCTGCTGCTGTTGACACCTGCTCATTAGCAGCTGGAGTTCAGCCTGCTGTTGCTGCTGTGATAAATCAGCAGCGCCTGCCAATGCGTTAACAATAACCAATTATTTTCTAAAAGCCTTAGCAGCGTTTCTCTGAGGATAAGACCTTAGACATCCTACTTTATCTGTCCTTATGTGTAAAATAACTGCATCATTTATGGACATATTTCTAAAAAGCAGTAACTTTTAAAATTAAAACTTTCATAGTTCCTTGTTCAGTTAGCTGTAAAACTTCAATTACAGAAATATAATGTTCTGTTTTCTGTCCTGTTACCACCTTGCAATATGGATTTGGCCTGTGGCTTGACATTAATATCTGGGCAGACTAACCAAATTTTGTCCATTTAAATTTCGTAACCAAATGTTCCCATCATTGAAATGTTCAAACTCCATGATTCTGACAGGGAACCCCCTTATCTGCAGTCCCTTACAGCTTCAGGTCTCGCTTTTTCTTGACACTCACAAAAATTTTGTTAAATCCAAATCCTTGAGTCCACTTTGATTATTTTAGGCCGACATTTTCCCTTGCGCTAGAACATAGCCTAGGTCCGATGACATTTTCTTCAAAATTAACCTTTAAAAAAATTATTTCATGCTAATACATTGTACGAACTCAACGTATAAATTTGATTTATCTATTTCGATAGGGCTGAAGTCTGAAAAGTAACTCATATTGCCAGCACACCTCACATTTAAAGACAAAAAAAAAAAAAATACTGACATCAACACAGTTCTCACTTACCTTCCCTAGGCCGGGAAAAATGCTCGAGACCCGCTGCACCAGCTCCAGGCCCTAGTCCGTGCCTCGGCCATGCCAGGCTGGCGTAAAGACTGGGCGGTATCCCAGGGGGCATGTGGAACCCTGGGTAGACTGCAGTCATGCCGCTGGCACTGCGGCTACTGGTGGCGCTCGGGGGAGGAGCGGCCGCCGATTCCTGGAGGGGGCGAGACTGAGACTGAGACTGGCTGCTGGCGCTGGAGGATGGCACGGGCACACTGCTAATACTGCTGGTCACTGCAGGGACTTCTGTGAGGAGGAGGAGAAGGAAGAAGAACATGAATTTGTACACATTGGTGGTCATCCAATACATGTCATCTAGGCTTTTGAGATCGGCTTATAAAAGATAAAAGTCAGAGACTTGGAGGGAGAGCCATTGGACACCACGCCCCCTTAAGATACATCTTTGTTGCCCAGATCCTGGCACATTGGTTTGGTGTTCCACCACGTGTACACACACGCACACACACACACACACACACACACACACACACGCACACACACACACAAACACGTACACACACAAGTAGACTTACAATCACATGCATAATATAAATGAGCAGCAATATAAACAATAATAATCGTAAGCTAGATACACACTCAATGTTATTTTGATGCATGCTCTATGAATATGCCTGAGGCATTACCAGCACATCTACAGGAGGTCGACATTCATGAAAAACATTTAAAGAGCTGAGAGAGAAGGAAGGTTCCATACTTCTGGACCTACCGAGATTTCTTATAGAGTAGCATGGTAAACAAGGAAAAGACATTTGAAAGAGATATTCCTGCCTTTTCGCCATACACTGAAAAGCTTGATATTTTCCAAATTGTGAAATGAAGTAGATTTCTTGAACTAAGCAATCGAACCATAATTATTTCATGAAGTAACATGAAGTAAATACAAACAAAGGGTACATACCTTGTCGAGGCACGCGAGAGTGATCCAGCCCAGACTGCTCCAGCACTGATTTGTGGAATCGCTCGGCAAACTCACGACTAGCTGAAGGCTGCGGGCCACTGCGGGCTGAGGACTTGGGCTCAGGGAATATCACAGCTTGCTTTATGGTGGAGGAGGACGAGGAGGTGGTGGTGGTGGCGGCAGCAGACGGCTTACGGTTGTCACGCCGGGGGGCGGGTTCCAGCACCGATGGAACGGGATGACGGTGCTGGCGGTTTTGGTGATTATGTTGTTGTTGGTGGTGGTGATGGTGGTGGTGGTGGTGGTTGTTGTGGTCGTGGTTGTTGGTGAAAGTCAAGAGGTGGGGGTGTGAGGTGTGGGCCACAGAGCTGTCCCCCTTCAGCGTCGGGTGACAGGGAGCTGAGATTCTTAGCGCTGTTTTTTGTTCCTTCATGCTTGTTGGGGCCGGATGGTTTGGGTTCATTTCATCAAATTTTCTTTTCACACCACACGAACCAGCTGAAAAAGGACGAGAATATCAATTTGAACACAATGAAACAAAATGTATTTCCGTGCAGTCTGAAGCAAAGAGTTACAAACACACTAAACACAATAACAATAATTCAAATAATCCTGGTGCAGAGACAGTGGGTAAACGTTTAGCAGCACAAAGTTTTGACAGAATGAAAATCACTACAACGAGCATGAGACTGAAGCTTAAAGGGCTACTACACAGGATTTTCAACAGAGACAGCAGGCAAGACTTGTAACACCCTATGCCTGCTGCCCATCCACATCCAAATAATTACTTTTTTTTCTACTTGTTTTGGAGTTATGGACTTTTGTTCTGCTATATCTGTCTATATTTTCAACCCTTCCAGCCCCAGCCATTTTTGTGCAATCCCTAACCCCAATCCCAGGCAATACAGCAGTATTTCAGAAAAAGAGGTATGTATTCTAAAAAGAGGTATGTATTCTAAAAAGTGATGCAGTATCTTTATTATGACGTTTAGCTGATAACATAAAACAATGTTTAAAGGTAAATGAACAAATATTATGAAAATTAAAGTTCAATCTGATTCAGTAATTTTGAAAAATAGAAGCAACAGAGATGTGGTTTCTTAGGAGACTGCGAAGAGTATCGTGGAAGGAAAAGAAATCAAATGAGGTAGTGCTTGATGAAGCCCATGTGGGACACTCAATGTTAAAAACAATCAGGAAACGACAAATGCAGTTTTTGGGACACCTGAATAGACATAAGGGTCTTGAACACCTAGCTCTCACTGGCAAAATTGAGGGCTAGCGAGGCAGAGGAAGGCCCAGAACAACATACTAAGGGAACCTAAACAAATGGGTAACAGGGAAAGATCAGGGAAACGTAGCTTTTTTGAGAGCAACCGAGCAAAGGAATGAACGGAGAACCATGATCACCGATGTCTGTCGCAGATCTGGCACTGGATGTTGATGAATTTTGAAAAATGCGCAAATTCAGTGCCCCCCCCGAAACTGAGAATATATGCTCTTGGGACAGTGGGAGGTACAAGTGCTGTTGAAAATATATGTGCATGGGGCTGGAAGGGTTAAGATTAGGCAGTTTTTATCAAGAAGTCATCAAGGGAAAATAAACCTAGTATAACTTCCTAATATTGCAACAAAGGGACTAAATTGAATTCACAGTATTCAACACCTGAAACAGCCATGACCTGGCCCATAACTGCCATAAGACAACAATTGTTTGATTGAGTAAAATTCATTTAGAACTAGGAAAAAGAAAGACTGACTGTAGTAGTAGTAGTACAGGGTTTTACGGCGCTCGCAACTGCGTAAGGTCATATGAGCGCACGACACACAAGTTGGTAGCATTCGCAACAGTTCACTGCACGGTTTGTCGACAATTAGACTTCAAAATGCTAAAATACTAAAATTCAGTGTAAATATATTTGCGATTTAAAACAACTCTTATAAATAACAATAACATTTTTTAAACAATATTGTTTCACTTTACAATTTGCCATAAAGGCCATAGGAAGACAGACTGGCAGACAGAAACAACAGAAGGAGTGTAAAGAATTGCCACCTTTTAACCATCCGTTAAGACACACAATTTGTCTGATGAAATAAAACGTAATAAGTGAGCGAGGCAACAGGAAGAGGAGGGACAAAAAAAGGAAGAAAAGGAACAAGCTGGGAACGACTTACTCTCTAGATTGAGACTGTCCAGGGACCGGGAGGGCATCAATCCGTTTCGTCTCAGCTTAGACAGGGCTACTCTGAAGAACCTCTTCCTTTGCAATTCTGTGGATCATAGACACCATTGGGAAATATTGAGTCTCATCACCATTGGGAAATATTGAGTCTCATACCATTGGGGAATATTGAGTCTCATACCATTAGGCAGAATCAGTCAGTTACCCTGCAACATTTTCAAAGCGGAACGGCAAAAAGACATTGGGTGTAGTGAAGAGGACAGATCGAACGGGGAGTCTTTCACAACACACAGTCGAACCTGCCATGACGGCCACCTCTATAAGATGGTCATCTGTACAAACAGCCACTTTCCATTTCCCACGTTGTGTTTTTTCTATATAATTTCACTACGTAAAACGGTGACCTGTCCAACATGGCCGCGGCCACCATATTTTACCACACAACCCCTATCACACCAAGCAATAACACCTGTCTTCGACAACCACCTTAGTGACTCCATTTTACCTTTTGTCATAAATTATGCATTGTTGGCCCCTGGCATTCTGTGCGAGCCATCACATCCAATCACCTGTCATTGTTCTAAGGTAGTCCCTCCAACCGATCATGTTGTGCTGACCCCTCCCACTATTTACCAATAGGTAACAAATTTTCAGCTACTGATGAGGTAAGCGTGTGATCCCTCATAACCTATAAGCCCTGCCCAGAACACATACACAATTCATAAGTGAGATGAGTGGTTACTGTTTACCCAGTCTGTAGCAAAGTAACAATGGACTTGCGACAGAAGTGTCTCCTGTTCTCTGAGTGGTAGCGAACCCTGTGTTTGTTTTAACATGGCACTCAGTCTTTCTCGTCTGATACATTTCGTTTTATTGTCACCCTTGCGCAAAATCAGCAACAAAATAAAAATAACAAATAAAATACAAATCAACAACAACAAAAACAACAGCAATGCGGCTACTTTCGGTTGGGACCTTTATAAGGGAATGTTTTGTTTGCTTCATCTTGATCAGTCCTGCCTAAGACGGCCAGCAGTGTTATACGGCCATTTTTCTCATTGACAATGGCTGGCCGTCTTACATAGGTTCGACATTATTTTACATGTCATGGCTTCAAATTAAAGAAATTCAAACAAGTACAGAAAAATCCACTTTTCCAGTCACTGTTTGCTCAACTCAAGTGGACAGTAAAAAAATCATAAGAATATTATAATCAATGATGGTACAGATTAGAAGAGGAAGAGACAAAAAATGAAAAAATACATGAAGAGGAAAAAAAGAATGAGAACAAATAAGATAAAGTGGAGGAGAAGGCAGCAGAGAAGAAAGCCAACAAAAAATGACAAGAAAAAAAAAAAAATTCATGAAAAAGCAGAAATAGGTCGAAATAAAAGGCATATAAAGAAAAAGCAGAGAAAAAAGAGAGGAATTGATTGTATATGTACTACTAACCATCTCTCTGAGTATGTGTGAGGACCTGCAGTCCTAGGCCCGAGAGAAACCGCGACTTGTCATGGACATCCGGCTCACTGGAAAGCTCGTCCGGGTGGATGGGGCCCATCTCTGGCAGCAGGCCCTCCTGGAGCCACGGGCTGTGCCAGCCAGCAGTACAGCTGTCGTCGTCATGGCGACGGACAGGGCTAACACTTGACATCCGCAGCTGATGCCGCCGACGGACCTCCTTCTTCCGTTGGAGTTCTGCAAAGCCACAAGCAATAATACAGGCATTTGTTTTAGGTTGTGGTTTTTTACGCTTTTT